ATTTTGATGCATTTTCGGCCTTAAAATGGCCGCTATTCGGCTATCGTTAATCGGATCATGAAAAAAATGCATGTGCATATGTCCCATATAAGGTGTGATGTATGAGTGAAGTTTGAACTTAATCGGTCCATGCATGTTCAAGATACAGGTGATCACGGACGCACGGACGGACGGACGCACACAGGGCAAAACATAAGTCCCCGTTTTCGGACTGCGTCCGAACGGGGACTAATAATCACAGGTTTACTCCACCCACCCCACTATGAAGTGAAAGGCTGTTTATAAGGCCATTTATGATGGTTTCATGTTTATTATGGAAAATAATTTTAATTATAAACTTCTATGCTCCTGCACCCAATCGTGGGGATCAATCATACTAAACAGGTGTCACTATTACTAAGATAAATGTACTTTTTTTTCATTAAAATTACTGATATATATATATATATATATATACGTATCAAATAATCAGGTATGAGGTCAAAAAGCATTTTTGACAGTTTTAACGATCTTGTCACAAAATATTCAAATCTAATCAATGTTCACCAAGTAACATGTGCCACAGACTGATCAGTCAAGGCCTGAGTGCCATATGGCACAAAACAGACAGATGGGTTGAAAGGGCGGGAAGGCACACGCATGCACAGACAGACAGTCAGACACACAGACAGTAGGCTAATCCCCATTTTGGATTGCGTTCAAATTGAAACTGAAAATGCGGACAAATAAAGCAGTGTAAATATTTTGTAAAAGTTGACCAAAGTTGAACAGTAAAATGTCAAAAAGTATAACGAAATATTTTAAATGCGGTTGGTGGCTATTTAATTGGGGGACAAATTTCAACCCAAACTTCATGAACAATGCAGTACTTCACCTTTCCAGAGTTTTGAGCATGATCGTCAAATCGTTTCTGATCAGTACTTGACAAGCAACATGTTGCGGTTGTCAGCTGCTCGTTCAGACAGAAAATGTGCTCTCAAAACATAACACATCACTAGTGTAAGACTCCATTGATAGCCAAAAATGAATGGAAACCAGAAGCATGATTTTACATGAAATTATCTGATACAGGTCTGCTGCAAGCAATCTGTACCACAGTTTAAGAAAAGTCCTGTTTGCAGAGAGAATTGAAGGCATGGATTTGATGCAAGATATTTTTAATAACACAATTAAGAATAGCATATTGAACAAGAATCTTGTTAGATGAACATAAATTTTACGAAGTCAACAGCGACGCAAGCAGGAAGTACAGGAATACGTATGCATTTGGTGAAATGTACGCAAGAATGAGTCGGTAATTTTTTGACATTTGCCAAAAACACCTTTTGAAAAACATTTTGAATAGAAATGCCAAGAAGAACACTGGCAACAGTATCCTAAAAAGTTCATTCAATAGAGGCATTTGCATTGGTGACACTTACAAATGCATTGTTTTTGTCAGAAAAACAAATTACGATCAGTCTGGTTAAAACATTGCCTGCTGACATTTTTCCATTTATTCTGGCTATTCATGGAGGCTTTCAATGAAGTGAAACCAACAATAAATCTGACAGCCCTAATTACAGAAATCATCTGCTCTTTGCAGATAAACTGATACTTGTAGGGTAAAATTTTTTAAATACAACTTTAAAGAGGAAGTCAATGCTGTTACCCATCAACCTTTTAAAGTTTTTTTTACAACTTCTTTGATAATTTTGGACCAAATTACTAATTTCATTAGGCTACAGATCTTATTCAAAATAGTGGTACTTTCATGGTGCATTTCACTTACATATCCAACTTCATGTTGTGAAAGTTTTGTGCAAGCTATCCATACAACATTGACTTTACAATCATAATCAAAAAGTCATGCAAGTAATTGCTATGTTCACACGACAGCATTTTATTGAGCCCTTCGGATCGAGCCAGCAAAAATGGTCGTGTATATGCATTCGACTAGTGCCAAGTTCGGCTCCAATAAACCCTCAGGGTTGAGACCCGACATGGCCCCAACTGTGTATACGCAGGGCCCAACTATCGAAGCCCAAATCACACCCTCAATCGTCTTCTTCAAGTAACCCGTCATTTCAATTATGGTGGAGACAACATCGTTGGTAACTTCACGCAATTTCCAATTTGACGAAGAGGTACGCGCACTAATATTTATTTTGGCAGCGTAAAGAAATACTGCAATAGATTGGCAGGTCATGCAACAGGAAACAGAAAAACGGTGTACGAAATTATGCGACAAAAACTTGAAAGAAGGACTGAACAGATCCAATGAAAATTGAAGAAACTTTTTAAAGATACCAGAGATAAAAATCATAGAAGTGGTCACGGGATGTTCCTAGTAGTTTAGACTGACAACTGTCACACATATCACAACAGTTGAACAATAACAATAACTTAAGCGAATAGGCTGTAACACATTTTAGCTGCCGTGTTTCCTGTTTATTCAAGATACTAGTATCTAAATGATAACACCAGTTCCTTGTCTTTTCTACCTCCATGCTCATGCTCAAACTCGATCGTGACTTTCTTCTTTTTCTCCCAGTTCAAAAGCATCGTGTCATGTAAAGAAAGAACACAAGCACGACACCAACATCGTTTTCAGCCATGTTTTTTATCCTACTAATTATTTGGGGACACTGTTCCAAACTGAATCGAACTATGGCAGATCTCGGCTCTCGTTCCAGACCGTATGAACACATTGGAGATAATCTCCTGTTGATCTGTGGGAGGAGCAGTAGTTTGGTAGAATGCTGTCGTGTGAACACATGGCAAATATCAAACAATCTCAAACAATCAAAGATCCTGCATCAGCTGCTTTAGAGATTAGTTTTCTAACACTAACTAAATAAACGGTTTCAATTATTTTCCCTGTCACATTATTTTGTTTTTGCCAACAAAATATTTCAGATTCAAAGTGTCAAGACTGATGTGACCACAAACCGCCCTTTCCCTTATATAAAAAATAATAATATAATCGATATTCAACTTCTTGTACCAACATCTAAACTAAATTTTCTAAATTTAAGCAGTTCTTAAAATAATATGGATTCCAGAATCAGTAAATACAGGTTCACTCAATTCGCCAACTTTCAAAGCAAAAGTTGCATCTTCAAATGGTTTCTGCATCTGTCCTCTTCCAAATGGTCCCAAGTCGCCTCCTCTTTTTGCAGAGCTACAGTCACTTTCTGTAGATGCTAATTCAGCAAAGGAAATTTCTCCAGATACAATTCGACGACGATGTTCTGAAAAAGGAAAATAAAGTTATTATTTTAAAAATACTTCATCGCTAAAGGTGGATGGGAAAAAAATGTGTATGATCAAGTGAAAACAGTTTGCATGATAGAATTTATTAGTGATTGGTTGTGCAGTGTAACCTACGAGAAACTGGCTGTTGTAGAGTTTTGAACAAAAATGATCATTGTGTATGGATCACTATAGAATTTCAGTAGAATAGGTATTCTATTATAACTTATTTATATTTGTATCAATTTTTAACAAAATTCTTCAATGCATTTTCTCAAAAGATAAACATGTAGGCCCAGAAACCTACAAATGCTAACAATAATACATATAAGAACTTTCAATGAATTGAGAGTGCACCACAGATAGATGGAGTTCAGACGAGTTCATAATCGTTTTTACACATCTATTTGTTGCACTATATACTTTAGAACTCGTTACTTCAGAACACAGACCTTCTTTATCAAATTAAAGTTGTATTAACATAATTTCTCGGAAAGAGTTCTTTTTGTACCCCTAACCCTACCCTCCCCTCCAGCACTCCCCATTTAATTGTACATGCCCCTCCTAAGGACATCTACAGTTATCTAGAGGGGCATATACAAATGAATTGGGTAACTGGGAGTGAGTGTTAGAGTTAGGGTTAGGGATACAAAAGGAACTCTTTCCTATTTCTCCATTACTCGATCTCATCATGGTTTATAGTTCCATGATCTCATCTTTCTGAATTCATTTCTCAACGTAAATTATAAGCCCCTTTCGTACTGTCCCAATGGGGGCTAAAAATCTGATTGCAGTATTTGTATCTTGAACCCTGGCTGTACCTTTTAATATTTCTAGTGCTTCTTCTTTGGTACGGGTTATATTGTCTTCTTTCCATGATGCCGGTCTTCTCGACTCTCTGTGCTTGACAAGTAGATGAGACGCTTGCGCCATTTCTGAAGCCGGTGACGTTGGTTTCTCCCACTGACTCTGTTTAGTCTTCAGATTCAAGTAGTAAGGTTTACCTATTAAAATAAAAATACATACTATGATGAAACAGTTATGATCCCAAACCACTGGCACCGTTTATATCAGAGCTGCACGGTCTTTACAAGTGATTGCTTACTAAACCATGCCGTCGACTACGAGAATTTCATTTAGTCATTTATGTAATTTAATCAATGAATAGATTTCTTGTTAATATTTAGTTAAATATATGAAGTACTAGTACATAAGACTGAATTCAAGAAATAAACGGCTAGTATTTGATGTCAAATCACAGTGGCTTTACCGTCGTTGCTCCGACTATATCGTACTTCCCAACCTGGTGGTACGTCTTCCGCCATAATGAATTCGAAAGAGCTCCTAAGTTGATGGTTGATGACGTGGTTGGAACAATTCTTCGAGTCGAACTACATATGTTAAGATTTAAACATGAAAATATTCATCAAGTATCAACTGAAAAACGATAAGGTAACCTTTTTTGTTATGTACTGTGCGTAAGCGAAATAATTTATGTTTTTGATAGGCTGTTAAAAACTACTAAATTAGGGGGTATGCTAGATATCGCACAAGGCCTAGACGAGTAATAAAGTTAACAATTTGCAACTGTTCTACTACTAGTATTTATTTGTTGTATTAATCGACTCATGTAAAATTAAAGTTCTTAATAAAAGATGTCTATTCGAGCAAAACAGTATTTTCACTATTAATATTGCAATATTCTTATTGCAAAGGCGGGGGGGGGTATTTAAATTTACTAGTATTCGGTGTTTCTCAAAAACACTCCCTTCTCAATTTAATTTGAAGTACGAGACAAGGTCAACATAATTTCCATAACATAATTAACAAACCATTCTTTAATTCCCACCATGTGTTGACACTGGCCAAACAGAAGTCAGGACCACACCTGCACCTGTTGACACTGGCCTATCCTGCCTGGCCTGCTTTACGACTTTCCAACATTCTTCACAACAGTTGTTGGTGGAATTATTTCCAGAAATCATCTGCTGCAACGTGGTCAATGATTGGCTAACTCGGCTGTTAGTCACGTGGCCGGTGTATAAATTTAGACCATTCTATTCATTTTATTTCAATCAAATATTGAAATTGAAATTGTAATATTGTAAAAAAAATACATTTAAATTTAACGACAATTAAATAGTTTTTTTTTTTTTTTTTTTTATTATAAACGATGAAATGTTTTCTTTCCAAATGCATTACATATATGCGCAATAACATGCTCAGTAGTGAAAATATAAAAAATATATATATATTAATTTACATAATATTACCGTTTACCAAATTTTTCATAGCTAACACTTTTCGTCATTAAACATCAACTCAATATGGTCTTACCTCGTAAAACAATATTTTGGGCTCCCAGTGTCACAAAACATGCTATTTCCACTATATCTAACGTTCTTCAAGTACGGAGTACCGCAACCCCATATTTAAAGGGCGGCAGTCGTCGCGCCACCTCCAGTTCGATATGGGACTC